CCATCTTAAATGCTAAGCACTAGTGTGTTAACCCAGGCCCTTTTGCTTCTCCATGGAACTCCCTTGGGCTTCTTTATCTCCTCTGGGCTGTACATAGAGTGTTCCCCCAGGAAAGGTTTGAGTTGATAGTGTATATGATGGCATATGATCCTCTGACCTAAAAAAGGGGTTAATGATGATGAATCTTAGGGGACCAGAAACAAAACCTTTTACTTCCAAAGATACCACGTGGCAGACTCACAATTCTCGCAGCTATGAGACTGGAAGGACACCACCTGCTTTAGAAGGCAGGTGTGAGGAGTAAATGAGTGATCCAGATTCACAGAAAGTGCTTACCCCAGAGCCTGGTACGGTACCCAGTAAGCCCACACTAAAGGTGAGCTGTTCAAGGGCCTCTGTCTAGGAAATTCGAGACCCAGTGGGTTAATTATCCTCAGATAGAAAACAACACTGACTTCCCCAGACAGACCTGAGAGGGGAGAAACCCAAACAGACAGTTACAGTTCAGCTAAAATAGAGCTAATCTTTAATCTTTTATGGATATGTGTAATACATTAACTATTATAACCTATCCCCTTGAGGCACCTCGACACCTGGTCAACCAGAGGCTGGGGTTGGGTTGGCTGGGCTAAGTGGAAAGGAGCAAGTAAATAGGACAATTACCCTTTTGCAACAGACTTTCTTAGGTCTCCGCCTTGAGATTAAGAGGATGAAATGGCTGATGCTGCCTGTCGTACGAGGGTGGGGTAGGAAGGTGAACCCTTGAGTCAGCAGCCAGTGAAGAATACTAGGCACAGAATAACCTGGGGTGTTTTACATGTCTCTCTGCAAACCAAACTCCGTAAGAGCCAGAATTGTATTATTTATTATTTGTCATTGGGTGTTTGCTCATGATGGTTACTATTAATAATGGTGTTGGGGTTTTCATAATAGGAAAAAATCCAAAGGTGAAGAATTACTAAGGCTACGGGTCTCTATGAATTATGAAATTGTAAGTTTCAACTACCATATTTTTTCAACTCTAAGATGTACTTTGTGTCCATGTTTATCAGGCTTTGTCTTATAATACATATGTACATGTATATGGAGGTGTTTCTCAACCGCCTGGAACTCTGTTCTTAAGTAAATGCTGTGGCTTAAGAGTGGCTAGTGTTCAAGAATCGAGGCGATGTAACAGTTCAATCTCTCACTCCAGGCAAGAATTCTTTCTACCATAATCTCTGCTTCAATATTTCCACTGGAAAGGAGTTTACTTCTCATCCAAGCAGTCCTTTTCATTACTAGACATCATCACAATGACCAATTGTTCCTTACATGGAGCCGAAATCTGTCTCCCTATGACTTCTACCCAGCAGTTCTAGTCCTGTCCTCTGGAACTACTCAAAATTAGTTAAATTTTTCTTAGGATGCAGAGTGGCTTAGGACTGTAAGCAAAATCTCTGGAGGCAGACAATCTGGGTTTTAATCCTGACTCTACCAGTTACTAGCAAGTAACTTGGTTTCTGTTCCCTCAAGCACCATTGTTGTGAGGTTTAAATGAGATAAATATGTACAAAGTATCTGGCACCTGATTCTCAATAAATGTAAACTATTCCTCTTCCCCCCTCTTCCCCTGGCTTTGTTATAATTTTATATACTTTAAGATAGATGTTATGTTCCACACTTCCAAGTCTTTTCCAAATTAAATATTTCCCAGTTCCTAAACCATTCTCCTCATGATAACTCTGATTCATTGCATACCAACAACATACAGTATGTGCCAGGCACTGCCGAAGGCCTAAGAGTTTAAATAACTTGCCTAGGGCCTCATAAGCAGTAGCCAGGATTCAAACCTAGATCTGTCTGGCTCTAAAGCCATACCTTCAAATCTAGATCCCATAGCAGTGCTGTTCAATAGAATGTAATGTGAGCCACATATGCAATTTTACATATACTAGCCCCATTTTAAAAAATAATGAGAAACAGGTGAAATTAAATTTAATAATAATTTAATAATATTTTATTAAACCCTAGCTATCAAAATATCATTTCAACCTCTAATCAATATATAAAATTATCAAGATATTTCACATTTTTTTCATAGTAAGTCTTCAAAATCCGGTGTGTATCTTACACTGATAGCTTATCTCAGTTTGAACAAGCCACATTTCAAGTGCTCGTGGCTGTAAACTGGTAAGCAGGCAGTGTGTCACCTAGTCAAATGTGTTGTGAAGAAAAATACAGCACAGTATGGGGGAAGACAGGGCAGATAGTGGATTACAATTTGAAATACGTGATCACGGAAAGCCCCCCTAATAAAGATTTGAGCAGAGACCAAAAGGAAACAAGGGAGTGAATCCTGCAGTTCAGTGGAAAGGAGAGCTCCAGGCAGACTGCATAACAATTAAGATGGGAGCATCCTTGACATGTTCTAGTAAGAGCGGAGTAGAGTAGATGGGGCGGGAGCAGGCACAGATGGAGATGGTCAGAGAGGTAACAGGTGATGAGGGTGGATCGTGTAGCCATAATGAGGGCTTTGGCTTTTACTCTGACTGGAGGAATAGCATGAACTTATGAGGATGCTGGAGACAATTAGGTTGAAAAGAAACAGTCATACTTTTTCCAAAGGGCTATGCATATAGGAAGCAGCCATTCCTGGGGAAACACTAGTTTGTAACACTAAGGTTGATATCCTAGCATTGCAGATAACACAGGGGTAGATCTATTTAATTTCTATCAGGCCATTCTAGAAAGCTGAGTGTGTGCTACAAACCATGTTGATGGTCTGCAGGTCTGATGAAGACTGGCCAAGGGCTAGTCTTAATCCTTTGAGCCCAGCCTAGTGATGGGTTAGGAAACAATGTATGGACTTCTCTCCTCCTTTGTTGCCACTAATTGTAATAATTGGGGAACTTAACTGTGGAGAAAGAGCCCATGAATTCAGAAGGTAGCATGGTAGAGAGATAGGTTTCTGAATGAAAGAACTGAATTTGAACCTGAGTCCTGCCATTTGCTGGCGATTTGGCTTTGGGCAAGTCTCTTCACCTCTCTGAACCTCTTTTTCCTCCTCTGTAAAGTGGAGATGGTAATATCTACCTTTTAGCAGTATTTGACATATTTATACATATATAAAGTTGGGTATATTAACTGTTCAATAATTGGTAGTTATCGTGATGTGTTCAACAAGATTTCTGAACACCCACTACATGTAAAACACATTGTTATAGAATGTTTTTGTCCCCCTGCCAAATCCTTACATTGAAACCCTACTCCCCAATGTGACAGTATTAGGAGGTAGGGCCTTTGGGAGTGGTTAGGGTTAGATGAGGGCAAGAGGGAAGTGCCCTCGTAAATGGGATTAGCGCTCTTATAAGAGTCCTGAGGGAGTTTGCTTTGCTCTGGTTTTCACCATGTGAGGATACAAGAAGTTGGCAACCTGCAACCCAAAACAGGGCTCTCACCAGAACCCAAACATGTTGGCACCCCAATCTCAGACTTCCAGCCTCCAGAACTGTGAAAAATAAATTTCTGTGGTTTATAAGCCACCTTGTTTATGATATTTTGTTATAGCAGCCTGAGCTAAGATACACATATATATAAAGAAAATACATGATTCCTCCCTTCAAGATGTTTATAATCTATCTAGGGAGATGAGACATGCACAAAATATATTCAATAAGATAGAATGTGCTTGCTCAAATGAGAAATATAAAGTGGAATAATAATAGCTACCATTTATTGATTGCCTACAATAAGCCAGGAACTATGCTAAGTGTTTCATAAATATCTCATTTTATTTTTGCAACCTCCCTCTTAGAAAGTACTATTTTTAACTCTATTTTATAAAAAAGGAAGCTGAGGCTCAGAGAGGGGAAGTGCATTGCCCAAGGTTGCACAGCTGGGTACTGGCAAAAGACGGAAGTGAGTTCCATCCTAAGCTCCAGGCCTCACATCCTTATCACAGAAACCCATCCCTATAGCTCCTAAGCCTTGTCCAAGTTTTACCATATTGTTTGCCCATTCCTTACCCATTATTATTTTTTTAATTTGATTTAATGCTACTTTTCAAATGCCAGCTATAATTTGGGCAAATGTTATAGGAATGTTTTCAAAAATGTGAACGAGTGGGAGATATTGTGGGTTACAGCAGGGGAACTGGAGTAAGAAGGGGCTGTATAGTGTAGAAATTAAGAGCATGGGTTCTGAAGTCAGCGGCTTAAATTTGTATCCCAGCCTCTCAACTCCCTCTGGTGTTATTTTACATTTTGTTGCCTAAGTTTCGCCATCTATAAAATTACCGTAATTATACTCGGGTCATAGGGCTGTTATGAATATCAACTTTAAATTTCTGACACTTTGTTCATAAAGGATTTTTTTTTTGCATTAAATTTGTAAAATATTGCATTAAAAATTTTTTGTTACTGAGTTTTTTGGTGCCCCCTTAAATTTTTTCCCTCCAGGAGAGTGCCTCAATCACCTCACTCTAGCTCACTCTTTGCCTGCATTTTATATGCTTGAACATAAGCAGGGTTCAATAAATATTCATTGAATTTACTTATCTCCCAATATTTTTAAATTGAGGTAAAATAAACACAGAACAGTGAACAAATACTAAATGTATTACTGAGCTCCCCAATTGTTCAGAACAGTTTGCTAAGCAGTAAAAGGTGTCTTTCCTTTTTATCTTCACGTACCCAACCAAAAGAAGTTTTGTTTTACAACAATCTCTTCTCTTTTTCTGCAGCTCTCATCCCCAAGCTCTCTTTTCCCCCTGTCAGTTCAAGAGATTTCCTGGACATCTCCAGGTCGTCACACCAGAAAAAAATAAATATTTTCCTGGAGGACGGCCTATGACGTCAAGGTTCCCTGTAACTCCCAGACGAACGTTCGAAAGCAAGCCGCCAGCTTCTCCGAAGCATCGCAGTTTGCGCATGCGCTTCTGCTTGCCGGACAGCAGAGTGGATTTTTATGCCTTCTCGGCACCCTTACGTCGCGGAGTGGTGGTGTTAGAGGTTTGAGCAACGAAACCTTATTTGCCGGAAGTGGGAAGAAGAGAGGGAAGTCTAACCCTCTCCCAGGGTCTTCAAGTTTAGGGCTGGGGGCTGATTGTCGCTAAAAAGCTCAGAGGTGCTCTGGTGGATACAATTCCTCGCTTTGCGAAAAGAGGCTAGAACGCGCGCTGAGGTGTGTGTGTGTTTTTTGTTTTTTAATTTATTTAATTTATTTTTGGCTGCGCTGGGTCCTCATTGCTGCGCATGGGCTTCTCTCCGTCGCAATGCGCAGGCTTCTAACTGCGGTGGCCCCTCCTTGCAGAGCACGGGCTCCAAGCGCTCGGGCCCCAGCAGTTGTGGCACACGGGCTCAGCAGCCGTGGCTTGTGGGCTCCAGAGCGCAGGCTTAGCAGCCGCGGCAAACAGACCCAGTTGCTCCGCGGCATGCGGGACCCCGCCCCCGGACCAGGGATCGAACCCGCGTCGCCCGCATTGGCAGGCGGACCCCCAACCACTGCGCCACCAGGGAAGCCCTGAGGTGTGTTTTTGGTGTAAGTGGGCACGCGTTGACGCTGGCTTAAGAGGACCAAAACCATCAATTAAAAGAATTTCCGCTTGGCTAGCTTTAAAAGGCGTTTGATTCAGAGAGGTGGAACGCATAGATTTTAGTCTGGTCTAGGTTCGGCTACCGACCTACTGTGTGTCCTTGGGCTCCTCCCCAAGTCTCAATATCCTCATCTATAAATTGAGGGGTAGACAAGATTCTTTAAGTCACCTTTCAATCCGTCTATTATTGCAGGTCCGTTTTGTCGTCTGAGCAACAAAGCCTTGGGGGTTAAATATCGTTGGCCCCGTTTTAGAAGGAAGACATTGAGTTCCAGGGTGAGAGACTTAGTTATTGCACAGAAAACGGTTAGAGATTTTAGACCTGGAGACTAAAAGATTATGCTGTAACTCCATGATCAGGCCTCCTTTGTGTATTTCTGTATCATCAGTTCCTGAAACTGGCCTATAGCAGTTACTCAAAAAGTTTTGAATGGATGGATGAATGAATCTTTTCATGTCAAGGCCAATGACCCAAGCAGATCTGGTGTCTCTCCACCTCTCTGATGTATTAACAAGTATAACTCTTCTCCAGGTGTATCCTGTGTTTACTTGACGGGGGACTCCGAGTCCAGTTCTGTCGTTTTCAACTTAAACAGGTAACATGGAGGCACCTCCAGTCACCATGATGCCTGTCACCGGGGGCACCATTAACATGATGGAGTACCTGCTGCAGGGTGAGTGAACCAGGGAGCTTGTTTTCCTCTTTTCTGTTCAGCTTCCGCGGAGATGAGAAGCTGTTCTACAAAGGCAGCCTGCATAATTTCTGGCACCTTTTTTTTTTTTCAATTAACCCTTAATTATGGTCACAAATACATAACATTAAATTTACCATATTAAACATTTTTAAGCATACAGTTCAGTAGTGTTAAGTATTTCACATTGTTGTATAGCCGATCTCTAGAACTTTTTCATCTTGCAGAATTGAAATTCTATTCCCGTTAAACACTAATTCCTCCTTTCCCCTCCCTGCAGCCCTTGGCAACAACCTTTCTACTTTCTGTTTCTAATTTTGACTACTTTAGATAACCTCATATGAGTGGAATCATTACAGTATTTGTCGTTTTATCACTGGCTGATTTCACTTAGTATAATGTCCTCGATGTTAACCCATATTGTAGCATGTGACAGGATCTCCTTTTAAAGGCTGAATAATGTTCCATTGTATATATGTACCACATTTTCTTTATCCATTCATCTGTCAGACATTTGGGTTGCTTCCACCTCTTGGTTATCGTGGATAATGTTCAGTGAACATGGGTGTGCAAATATCTCTTCAAGATCCTGCTTCGAATTCTCTCAGATAAATACCCAGAAGTGAGATTAATGGATCAAATGGTAATTCTATGATACTGTTAACTAGCTCCATTTTATAGATCAGGAAATAGAAGTGAAGTAACTTTCCCAGATGAGAAAACTCAAGACCCAGAGGGGGTAATGATTTTCAGGACGTCATACAATGTTTAGTGCAAGAGTTTAGACTTTAATTCAGATCATCCATTTAGTAACTTACTGTGAACAAAATAGGGTTGTTAATTTTCACTCCTCAGGCTGCACCTCCTTCAGGCTTTCCCATCTCAGTAAGTGCCACTGTCATTCACCAGTTGCTTGAGCCATACATTCAGGAGTCAATGTACATTTTTTACTTTACCCCCACATGTAGTCCATTTCTAATCCTATTCATTTTACTTCCAAAATATGTATTAAATAAGTCTTTTCTCAACCTGCAGTACCACATCCTGGTTTATCATCCTTTGCCTGAACTATTTTAGTAACCCTGTACTTATTACATTGCTTCCACTTTTTTTTTTTCATTGCTTCCACTTTTGATCGTCTTTCTCTTCTCACACAACAGCTAGTAGTCTTTTTTAAAAAATTGTTTTAGTATTAAAAATATTCAAACATAAAGAAAGTGGGGGCTTCCCTGGTGGCGCAGTGGTTGAGAGTCTGCCTGCCGATGCAGGGGACACGGGTTCGTGCCCCGGTCCGGGAAGATCCCGCGTGCCGCGGAGTGGCTGGGCCTGTGAGCCATGGCCTCTGAGCCTGCGCGCGTCCGGAGCCTGTGCTCCGCAACGGGAGGGGCCATACAGTGGGAGGCCCGCGTACCGCAAAAAAAAAAAAAAAAAAAAAAAA